CCTATTGGCCACCACAAGATAGTGTACACAGGCACCTGCCCCTCCAGCCTCTGGGCATTGTCCTCAAAGGCCACTCCGATTTGGAAAGAGGATTTTCAAACTGGTCTCTCACCCTGTATACCCACCAGGTCTCTAGGCCAATCCCCAGCTTGAAGACTTGTCTTTGAAACAGCCCAACTAACAGATAACAAGTTTGGGACGGGCTGCGTAGTGCACTGGGAGAGACACTCATATGGCACTGCGCAACTTTTCCCCTGGCATCGGTTGGCTCTTTGAGCCAATTCTCCCCTTCTCCTCCATCTCCCTCAACCCAGGGATCAGTGCCAGGGCTGGGAGAGGGTGGTGTGGCAAATCAAGAGAGGAGGTGACTCTTCCAAAGCCCCCAGATCTCCAGTCTTACAGAGCTATAGGATCAGACTGCACAGCTAAAGAGCCTCTTCTTGCCTCCTCCCCTAGCTTGGGCAGGTGATTCCCCAGCTGGGAGAGTTGGCAGGTAAAGAGGGGAAGTGGGCCCAGCCATCTATCAAAACCATTGCCAATCATAGCTGTACTGTGATTAGCAGATGTGTTTGCTATTACCTGGTGACACGCAGAGAGGGGAGTGCATAATGGAAATTATGTCATTATCTGTCGGTGACAAGCTAGGACAGAGGCAATGGGGACTGGCAATGGATATAGCAAAATCTACACTTTTCTGCTGGTTCACAGATGGGTGGAGGGCACTTTAACAGGCCTGTGGCAAAGAGCCCTAAGGACTGCTTAGAAATACAATATAGAAAATTGTTTAATAGAGGGACATGATATTGGCTCATCTTGCTTAGTATTTGTTTATCTGATTAGCAACGGGTCTCCAGGGTTCACTTGGAGATACCAAGGATGGGTTGTGGAACATCAGGCACAAAATAATATTTGTGTTTTCACTGAGCGATGGCCCTTCCCTATTTTCTTGTACCTTCAGAAGATGAAGCATTGTCATGCTGACATACCTACCTCTGCCTGACTTGCTCCACTGCTCTGACCCTGCTCGGGTTGACTTTTGTACCATTCCTTCCACATTTGGTACACTTTTTCTTGGCCTTTGTGAACTTTCTGATCCAACATCTCCTTGGTATATTTCAGCTACAATAAAGCAAAACAACAACAAAAAAGATCATGCACTGCAGGTCTAGTGTGTTTGGCACCATATCCACAGCTTTGTCTCACTGGCCAGAGCTATTCATTCCCTGTTGTATTCAGATCACCTTCAAACAGTTATCCAGCATTTTGTCACATTCAGCACAGCAAAAATGTCTTAAGGAACTTTCATCAAGTTTATTCAGGAAGCACTACACTACCTTTGTACACGATCTGTACAAAGTGCACCATCAGCTGTGCATTTTTGTTCACTACAGAATTGCTGCAGCCTGTGACATGAGCATTAATAGCAGGGGCCCTGTTTTGGCCTGGGATCCCTCAGAGGGCATTGCCAGTGGTGCTCTAACATGAACAGAATAGGTGTGGCCAATGGGGGGCTTTTTTACAATTGGGAAGAGGACTAAAGGAAGAGATTGGAACCTCAAGCCTTGCAGGGGTTTAAAGCATCCACCTCACCCTTTAAAATACCTCCAGTGAGGTATATATATTCCACTGGTGGAATGCACAAAAACAGCCTCAACTTGGTATCTTACAAGTATGCTACACCACATCCCTCATCATCTCCCAGATATGGTCAGATTGGAAAGGGTGGAAAATGTATTCAACAATTTTTGGAGGAGCCCTTCAAAAGTTTCTAACAGTACTCCCAGTCTACTCCTAGAAGCCAAATGGGACACAGCACAGAACTCAGAACATCAGGATGTACTAAAGTTGTATGAAGAGTTCCAAGCAGCCAGTTATGCTGGAGTTAGATTAACAAACAAGACTGAACACATTTTCAGCGCTGCTTTCTTAATCAAAAAGTCACCTGCCTGGATTTGGCATTAATCCTTGCTGCTGAGTACTCTGCTGACCTCACTTAGAAATAGAATATACTTTAAGTCATTGCACTAAATATTGTTGAATGGCTTCTTGTTCAAAAGAAGGACACTTTCTGCAATCAAAGTGCAATTCCATAATCATAAAGATGTATTTTCTTGCTCCATATCCAAAATAACCATGCCAAATGGAGATGATGCTCTAGAATTGCAATCCAGCACATCTGGAAATCACCAAATTGGGGAAGGCTGATGCAGATGATCCTATATACTAATGAAAAGCTTGAACCCATAGTCAAGAAGGAAGTATCCATATACAAAAGATGAGCAGGTTTGCTAGAATACAAAAAATGTTCCTGTTTTTCCCCTTAAGAATAAAATATAGATATAACCTAATGCATTCTGAACCTGGTCAATGGTTGATGTAGGTCAGTGTTTCCCAACCTTGGCAACTTTGAGATGTGTGAACTTTAACTTCTAGAATTCCTAGCAATGGCCATGCTGGCTGGTAGATGAAGTCCACACATCTTCAAAGTTGCCAAGGTTAGGAAACACTGCAATATATATTATGTATATGTATATTGTATAAAATGTAGATTGTTGAGCAAAGTAGGAAGTGTGAGTGAGAGAGACAATGCAAAATTCTGAAAAGGGGCACAGCTGGCAGGCTACCTGGTTATCTTTAACATAGTACATATTGTGCAAAACCCTCTTTTTTCAGAGCAAACCCAAATCCACTCAATAACTGAACTCAGCAATTGTATTCAAACCCAAATCTACTCAATAGAATTCAGCAGGATATTAGCCTTTTACTGGACACTGAAGGTAGAACAGGACCCAAGCATCTGAACACAGACATGTTCCTACCAATGAGAAGTTACTACAGAGTTAGGTAACTAACCATTTCTAATCATCAACCCAATTAACTAATCATCAGCCCAATATATTTTAAGAGTTTTGCTATGTACGTTACATGTCAGTTTCTTTGCTAGCGGACCTGTGAACCTGTAAGTTACTCCATAGAAAGCTTTCTGTCCCCAGTCCTTGGCTGAATCAATCTCCCTGGGTTCAGCTACTTGGGCTGTTTGCTAAAGGGACCATTCATCATCTTACATGCTCCAACAAGGTTGCTGTCCCTCTCCCAAAGGTCCAGCTATTCACCCTTTCTGTCATTTCCCAAACACAACATGGAATGCTCAGTTTCTTACCAAGTAAATGATCTGTTCAAGCTGGAACAATGCCTGCTGTGCACTTTGTTTGATCATTCGCACCTTTGCCAGGGAATGGTGATAGGCTCGGCTACGGAGCTTGGTTGACAAGGAACCCAGACGCACGTAGTAGCTTTGCTCTTCTTTCTGCTTTTCAAGAGGGACTACTCCAGAGCCTTCAAGGCTGGCTGAGGCTGCAATGGCAGCTAAAGAAAACAACTAGATCAAAAGGGATCACCTCTTGCAGCACCTGAACTGATGTCAGTAGTAGCCACTTTATTCCTTAAATAAGGATTAAGCTTCTTGATTAATCTTGATTAAGCTTCTGGGAAATCTTGGCTGCACTTATAACTAAAATAGACTTCAACCCCTCTTCCCCACTGTTACAATATTTAACAATTGGGGGAGAGAGAAGTTATTTTAGGGCACATAATACAATTTTCAGGTACTTCTCACTGCAAGCAATTATGGTCAGGAGCGACAAAAAGGGGTCAGCTTTGGCCAGGAGGCTCTTTTTCCCTGTCTCCGGACTAAGCCATATTAGGTTTCTAGTGTAGCATGTTGCGTGAACCCAAACTCTGTGGCATGTAAACATGAGGTCCAGGTGAAACTCCTCAATAAGGATTTGTGAAACAAACCCTGGCAGAGTGCAACATGTACATTTCATTAATCTGCACCAGGCTCCACATCAGTCATTTGCAACATTTTAGGGCAGCGTTTCTCAACATCGGCAACTTTAAGATGTGTGGACTCCAACTCCCAGATTTCCCCAGCCAGCATGGGGAAAGTTGCCAAGGTTGAGAAACACTGCTTTAGAGTGGTCTCTCTAGAGACAGAGTGGAGCAAAGTATTTCACTTTTGGTAACCTTACACCGACCTGTCCTGGCCTCGTACCCTTCAGATTTGCTGAACTTGCAGCTCCCAGCATTCGAGACTGCAAGGGCAGGACCCTCTGCGCTTGCTCATTAGCCAAAGGAAAAAGACCACCACTTTCTCCTGCCCAAGAACATCAGCAGAAGGAAACCAGCTGGGCCTGACCTACACGAGGACTGCTATTTTACTTTGGCTTTGAAGAACTGCTCTCTCCCCCTTTCTCTTCCACTCTCCTTCCCTAGCCACTATTTTTTATTTGTTTGTTTAAAGGGGCAGAACTACCCATGTCTTTCATATACATGTTGCATTAGGAGACCTAATGGTCTGAAAAGTTGAATACAGGTAGGTTAAATAAATCCTGTACTCCCACAGTCACAGCAAGATAGAAGTTACAGATATCCTTTTCATCTAGCCTTCAATTTTATCTTTGCACATGACTCAGAAATAAAATCAGCTACGGCAAGGAGGGTCAGTTGGAAAGAGGAGAAAGTGAAGAGGAGGAAATAGAGGGATTTAGAAGAAAAATTATAAGCATGGTAAGCCTGTAATTGGTTTGCTAGAATGTAACTTAATTTTTTTTTAAAGTCTTAAAATGAAATTTGTACCGTTCAGGGGCATATGAAAGGATGGTATGCCTGGAACTGATTCTTAGAATACTTACTTAGTTCTTCTATTCTGCAGTGAAGTGAATTTTTCCATGCCTCTAAGCTTTCCCGTTGGTCTTTACATAACTGACTGAGGACACCCAGTTTCCGTTACAACTTTGCATCTTCTCCCCGTATGTTCTTTCTACTTCCTGTCAATGCTCTAATACTCATGTGTTTTGGGGCAAAGACCTATCTTCTGCTGGAGATGCAATATAATTCAGCAGCTTTATCCTAAGTGAGATCATTCAGTTCCTCCATACTGACTAGAATCACACATATTGGGCTTGGGTTAAGCCATGGATGATCAATTGTGGTTTGTTGGATAAGCCACAATTGCTGGCTTCACATATCATCCTAAATCAAAACCAAGCAGACCTCTTTATGGTTTAGCATACTCACTGACCAGCAGGGACTCTCCAGGCAAGGGTTTTTCCCTACCAAAATTAACAGCTTCCAATTTTAAGAAAAATGAGGTAGAAAATATTATATTCTACTTATGATTTTTAAAAATAAGTAGTCTGTTTAGCATATCTCCCAATGCTTACTTCTGACATATTTTCAATATTTTATAGCTCCATTAGGCCAGATATAGATAGCATATTCTTGGTCTACACTTTTCCTAGCCCAGTGCCCTTCAGATGTTTTAGCCTGTATCTTAGGAATAGGTATTTAAAGGTCAAACTTATTAGAACATGGATAAATAAGAGAGGGAACTGTGTATTCTTACCCAATTCTTCATCTGTGATTGGGAGAAACTGCTCTAGTAAGTCGTCTGATTTTTCTATCACCTTGTCAACACCACTGGCCATCTGCCCCACACTGACTTCCGTCATAATGCGCACAGCACTCTTCACTGTACATATAGCCACTCCCATGTTTTCCATGGCAGCTTCGGTGGCTACATCTATCATGCTTGACACAATATTCTTTGTTTCAATGACTTTGGCATAAGCAGAATTCTTGACACTAATAACAAGGTCTTTGGCATTTGAGACTACCTGCGGGGAAGAAAAATCCAAGAACAGAAGATATCACAGCTGAAGAATGGTGAAATCCACAGAACTAAGGACCAGCACATATACTCTCCTAGATAAATTTGGGTTATTTCTAGTTCTTGAATCTAATGTGGATATTTGCTACATTTGTTTTTACTGCAGCAATATTTTTTTTTAAAAAACACCAAACACACACAAACGGAATTTGATTAGCATGTTCTAGGAATATGGAGAAATGGCTTTGGGTAAGCAAGAAAAACAAAAATACCAAAGAACAAACTTTCATATATATATGCAATATACCCCCAAATCCTGTCAAAAGGTTTATAAATCTCGAACACAATTATCCTGCTAACAGGCTAGTACTACAATAGAACCTGCCAAACTTGAGGGGCTGTTTTGCATTTTTAGAACACACGAAGAGCATTATAAATTGCTTGCTGGAGGAGCCCTGCTAGTCACAAAATTTGGAAGACAAAGGATTTAAAGAGGAGAAAAGATTTTTCTCCACATTTATGCTCTTTTCCCCACAGGAAGAAAAGGCTGGTTAGCATTTCAGCATAGCCTGGCAAGTACAGCATCTGATGATAGCAACCGTGTCTGAAATCCATGCTAATCACTTACCTTTTGTACTGTCTACAGCAGAAGGAGGCAATTTGTGTCCTCCAGGTTTTGCTGAATTACAGTGCCCAGCATCCTTCACATTACACACTCTAGGGATGTTGGGAGTTGCAGTTCAGTGAAATCTAGAATACCACATGTTGCTTACATGAGTCTACACAGACTGACAGGAAGATACGGTCAAGCTATTACCTTTTCCACTGTCTGATGCATAACAGGAAATGTCTCTTGTAGCTTGTCAAGACCCCTACAGGCATAGTTATTTGCTACAGCAACTGTAAACAGTAAAAATTAAAGAACAGTTTGATTACTTATAAGATGTCCAGTTATAGTCAACAACTGGATGTTGTGTTTAGGTTATCTGTATTTGGGTTTTATTACTGCTTAGCAATACAAAAAGCAAATATTGTTTTGTGCCACACTGATATGATGGCAAAGGAAAATGATCACATGAAGGTGAAACGACATTGCTATGCATTCATTTAGGTGGCAGAAAATTCTACGCTCATATGGAGAGACACAAATAGCACATCAAAAGGGAAGGTGGGGTTGTTTGCATATCTTCCTCCATGCATACCATTTGAGTTTGCTTACTGTGAAGCCATTTCCATTCTACAAAGGATAAAGTACAGTAGAAAACATAAATACAAGATCATGATAAAATTTCTAACACCCTTGTTAAATCAGAGAGCAACCTGTAGCCTCAAATTCTTTCCCAAAGGAGATATTCACACACCAGAAACACAACCTCAGTGAAAGATCTTAAACCTAGTTCATATGCTGGGCAATTCAAGAGAACTTTAATTCCAGATAGTTGAAAGTAGAGAACTCCATGTAGGAAAAGCTCTGGTTTCTCTTAGATTTCTAGCTAAATTGCAAGATATATGCATAGACTGAATGCCGATTCAACTCAGCTATTTCACTGTTCAGGTATTTGTTGAACTGGGAGAGGAAGACTCTTGGAAGATGGTGTGGAGAAAAAGTTGTTAAGTGGCTCGCTCCATATGTCATGCCAAGGCATGGCTTACATAACCGTGCTTTACTGAATAAATTACTAGCTGATTCATACGGATTCATATTGAACCAGGAACAAGCAAACTACGTCTTGAATTAGTGTCATATGCCAAGTAGTCAGTGCATTTGTAGCTAGCTGCTTCAAGCCTGATGGTCACACTCCCCACACTTGCCTAGGATTGAATCCTAAAGCGGAACTATTTGGATGCCGACAAATCTACTGGTTTAGATAAGATGGTGTCTTAAGTTTGAAAAAAAACTTTAAGAACTCAGGTTCACTTCTTAGGCTTGCCCTAAAGAACCTTTAGCATCTAAGCCAGCCTTTTCTTACCTATTGAATCCCCAGTTGCTGTTGGACTATAAGTCCCATGTTCCCTACGGAATAGCTTATAGCATCTCAAGAGCCACACATTAGGAAACCAAGCCAAAAGGACAAACTGGCATGAAGGAAAATAGGGCTCTGACTACTGTGGCCTACCAGCTATGACTAATTACCATATTTTTCTGACTATAAGACGATACTTTTTTCTAAAATCCTTACACTAAAACTTGAAGGGCGTCTTATTCAAGGAAGTCAGCCGAGGAGAGAACCGCGTGGTGGCAAAACTTCCCATACTTTGTCTCTGCAAACAGGCTTCCTCCTATTTCTAGCCTCCAATCACGAGTGAAATAGCTTGAGTCTGCAAACAGACTTCCTCCAATCATGAGCCTTACGTAGCTGACATCAGCTGATGCTGAACAAACCAATTAGCGGAAGTCTCTTTGCAGAGACAAGCTATCGGCAGTTTCACTCGTGCTTGAATGTAATCAGTTATGCAAAAGAGCATGGAAATAGAGCTACAGAGAGATGGTTTGGACCTCCTCCCACCGAGTGTATCAGTATCAGTAAATGTTAACTAATTACTAAATAAAAATGTGTTCTGCACTATCTTTAAAATATTGATTTCTTAATCT